TCTTACATATTATAAAACAATTTTCAAAATTTTATTTTAATATTTAAAAAAAAAAAGTTGTCGAAACTAGTCGGATACCTTAAAGAAAGGAATTCAGAGATAAAATGGTTGTTCGCCAAAGAGATGGCGTTATCTTATCCAAACACTTGAAATCAAGATTATTTGCTTTTATAATCAGTCCACTTCATGTTTGATGTGAAATACACTGATTTACTGATATTATTCAAATGAAAGGAAATATTGTAAAACACTCTCTTCCTCATATTTAAATAAAAGCAAAACTGGATATTTTTCAAGTCACTCGATTTTTAAAATTTTGGGAAAGAATTTTAAAGAAAAAATTTAAAAGAAATTATATCAGAAGCGAATTTAAAAGTATATATTTTCTTAAGTAAATTTATTTACTTATGATTTTTCTCATTTATAAACACCTTGAATCACTTTTTATCTTATCAGATTTTCACACACTTTTAATGGGCCTACCTTAAATCTGCTAAATAATTAGTGCAGTCGATATTTAAAAGTAGGAATTCAGTCACAAAAACGTACTTTCTCTGAATCGTTGTAACATTTGAATTCCTGACTCTCAAAATATGCGGAGGAGAGATTCAAGGAAATCGGGTCCCAATAGTTTGGACAGGCCGTCGCTGACCAATAATTCTTTGTGCGCCGATCATTAGATTGAAAGTATTCAGGTCGTTACTTTTTTATTTCTCACTCTACAAATAATTTATTTATTTATAATAATAATTTTTCCATTCATATAATAATTAATTTCAGTGATTTTGACGTTGGAAATAGGGTTGCAAAACAATTCGTTAAATGTAAACTTTTAAGAAAAATCTGAGTGAAAGATTTTTGTGTTTTTAAGTAAGAATCCGTATTACCTCTCCTAATTTGGTGTTGGAAATATCTTGAAAAATGTTTGTTTTTTCAAGTTAATATAGAATCGATAATATCTTTAAAGGATGTGTAAATCTAAACTCCAATCAATAATAAAGCTTACACCAAGATCATATGCATTCACCCCATTCATCAATTATTTTCGCCAATCTTGACAATAGATGATCTATATTTCTTGTTTACAATCGAGCAGAGAATGAGAAAGTTTGATTTCGTCTTGCACGATGCTGATCATTCCAAAGAAGTAAACTGTTATAAATAGGCATTTGCGATTTTAGTTATATAATAAAGATGTTCTCATATTGTTCAATAATCATAACATTGTTTAATAATCATCATGTTGTATAATAAAGATGTCCAAGAAGATGTACAATGCGCCAGATAAAAACGGACAGTCCACCCTAAATCGTGGACTGGACATAAATCTGTCAATTGTGCGAAATATTTTTTTAATATAAAATTTCTATCCGCTTCCGTTTTCATTCATCAAGCTCGAATTCATCTATATAATCACTTCGTGTTGTGTGTATGTTTGATTTACAAACTAATTTAATGTTTAAAATTTTTTTTTATAAGAGTCCTAAAAAATTCAAATGGCATCAGCATTCATAAAAAGTAGTGCAAGAATCAGGCGATTATTTTTGAAACTTCGAAAAGTGGAATTGTTTTTTCTTTCCCCTTGGCTGTGGTTTCTTATTTAAAGAAGTTTTGTAATTCCGTTGCGGAAAAACAAAATAAAAAGCTTATAGTTATTAAGAGAGCTGAAGAATTTCCATAAATTGTTATTGTTGCCTAAGTATGGACCATCGTCTGATGGACGGAATTCATGTGAAGTCTTTCTAACAATGTAAATAAATGTCTTTTTATTGAAAGGAAACTAGCTGTTGAGCTGAAACATTCGTCACACTATGCATCCTAAATTATTCTATAGTGTATCGTAAAATACTGACTCTTATCAGTGTATCATATCTTACCGTAATTTTAATGTTGTTGAATAACAATTATTATTTCTCCAAGTAGTACAGTGTGCAAAAAAAAATAAAGCAAGAATGAACGCTTTGTTCGGATTTTCAAACTATGTGCCAATCATAATGGCTTAAAGGAGTTATTTCAAATACGCTAATGACTTCATGCAAATTATTAATTAAGCTAATGAATCAAACACAGAAACTTTACTTTCCCTGAATGTCTTTTTTGCGTCGGAATTTAATTATTGAGTATCAAAACATATAGGTTATTTGCAATTGGGAAAATAGGGTTCAGATAGTTTAGTCAGAAGAACAGTCGATAGTTTGGGCCTCCTCATGTTGATTCCCACATTTTGAATATTTTGCTAAATCTCAAGAATCTTTGCTATAAATCAAATAAACTATTCTCTTATTCAAAGATAATTCCACGAAAAAATAATTTTTTATATTTTTTAATTTAATTTATCTAATGAGGAATGAAAAAATATTGAATTTTAAGACATACAAATTTTTGCCCTATTTTAAAGTTTGTAAGTTTGTCACAAAAAAAATTTAAATGAAATTATTTGAATGGTTAAAAAATTTCATAACTCAGGAACTATTCAATCAATTTCCCTCAAATTTTATATTACGATATTTAAAACTGCAAAGTTTAAAATAGTGTAATAATTTGTAAATAATTGAATATTTTTCAACCTTTTATTAAATAAAATGAGTTCAAAAATGACTCAGCGGTTTTAACTGTTTATTGTGAAGTATTGGAGATCAAATTCCAGTGGCTGCTTGAAGCCCACACACCTTGAGATCGTTAGGGAACGTCTTGTCTGGTAAATAAAGGTGGCCTGTGCACAATGCTGATAATATTGCCACAATCATACCATTGGTGATAGAATTGTGGGGCCTGAACCTTCATGACCCCTGTCCCACAACGAGCTGTTGAGAGAATATTTTGTATTAAATACCTACAATAATGAAAATTGATTTTAAAAAAATTTTTACAAGGAAATTTTGGCTAACTGAACTTTATAATTGCGTGCAAAATTTTTTCAATCTGCTTACGAGACATGACTAAATACGCAGAAATTGAATTTAAAATTATGAGTTGCAAAATTACGAGATTTTAAACTTTAGCATTAACTATTGAGACCGTAATTTTCCGCATTGCAGCTACTCCCTATATATGTTGAAGATCAATAATCCGAATCCATTGGAAAGGGGGGGGGAAATTTTTATCCAGACAAAAGTAGATTTTCGAGTGTGATTTCGTAAACTAAACTCTCGTAACTTAAAATCTGTTCATATATAAGATTAGATACTCGAAACATAAAAATAGGAATTTGTTTTTTTTTTAACTCACTCTAAAGTGAGCAAATTAAAATCGATGCGTCACCCTGAATAATTTTTGATGTAATGATCGGATTTTCACAAATTAAAACTCAATTTAATGCTCCGAGAGCGAACCCTTAAAATATGCTAATTAATTAATTGTTGATGAAATAAATACAAAGTGAGGTGAAAATATTACGATGAATTGAATCTACTGTTAATGAAATCAAAGCAGTAAGAAATTAAATATTATATAATTATTTAATACATTTGACAGATTTGTCTACATCTTCTTTTAAGAACATCTTTATTATACACCTAAAAGCATATATGATTTTTAATAACATTTTACTTCCTTGTCAGCATCATGCAAGACGAAATCAAACTTTCACAATATCTGCTCGATTGCGTTTTTGTTACTCCTCTCTCTAGTGTAGGGAAGCCTACACCAGGTTCAAAAGATCCCGTCGCATGAGAACATCCTGCTCAACCAACAGCTGAATCCGGGAGACTCCTAAACAATGAAAAAGGTGAGCAGGAGTAAGGAGAAAAATTCGTTCCCCCATTCAGAAATTTCATGAGTTTCAAGTGACTACTTCTGAATCTTGCCAAGACTGATTGTAAAATCCTGGGCCGCTGCATAACAACTGTTGGAGGCGCCAAGTTGAAAGTAAGTTACTTTTGTGGAGCGGGGGGGGGGGATTTCCGAAGGCCACAGAATTGTCGATAGGAAAATCTGAACCATTTCTAGCTAGAGTTTCTGCAATCTCTTTATCGTACACCCCAACATGCAAAGGAATCCACTGGAGGCATACTGATTCCCTCAGGCCTAGAAGCACTAGAAATTCCTGGTCAGGTTTATCATATATTTTCGGCAAATATTTTAGGTTTTGGATGGTATTTTTACTGTCAGTCAAAATCCAAATACTACTATAATTAGTAGTAAGTGCAAACTCAAGAGGCCTCCCAATAATTTCTTATCTAAAAATAGAGCAAAAATCAGGATTACGAATACTAAATTTAATTTTCTGCTCGGAGTTGCTGATGAAAACACCACTCCCAGCTCTACAATGTTCAAATTCACTGCCCTCCGTGTAGATAGCTAAGATTTCAGAAAGGATATTATGAACGGGGCTAACTCTAATAGAAGTTCAGGATGATCCTCTTGCTTACTAGCACGGGATTTCAAATCCTCGTTGAAACTGATGTTCTCAAATGATACCGTAGGCGGCAAACAACTAAAAGTCAACGATGGAACGATTTTAAAATTCATAAAACCATGTTTCTCTACATGATCAAGTAGTGTGTACTCAGAATTTAGTGTACAAAAATTAACGAAACAACATTTCAACAGCCATGTTTAATTTCTCTTTTATAAAATGAGAAAATAAATTTATTAAAAACGATCCATTGTAATAAAAACCGGCTACTACATAACATTCCGTTTGTAATATCAGTGAAACTTAAAACAAGGTGTTCTCAGACACAAAAAAATTCATAATTTCTAATGTCTGAGAACAAGAAATATTAATCATCTGGCTCCAAGATGGGTAAAAATAATTCATATTTGCAGTAAATACATACAGGTATGATCTTCTCAGAGTAATCTTTATCATTTATTGGAATTTAGATTTAAATACACCCTTTAAAGTGTGATTGAACTATCGATTCGGTATTAACATGAAATAAAGTATTCATTCGCCCAATTGTAAAGAGTTTGTAAACATCAAATTCGAACAGGTATTACACCACAGTTCTTATAGTGTACAGTATATCAATTTAAACAGAATGAATCGTTTACAGGAAAGTTGAGGAATAAAGTTGTGTGGATAACTGGGGCATCGAGTGGTCTTGGAGAATATTTGGCGTACGAGCTCTCCAAACATGGCAGCAAGATTGTTCTCTCGGGCACCAGTCAAGAGAGACTGAACAAAGTGAAATCAAAATGCAAAGGTGAGTGTGTTTTTTATGACGATACAGTGTGTCAAAAGTGCACCATAGGGATCGTTCAAATAATTCCAAAAGCATGTTCTAGACTTCCACTCATAGGGCAAAATTTGGAATGACTACCCAACTGTAGCATTTTTAACAGTTTCTCGAAGCAATTACAAAATTGTTTGATATTAAATTGTTTGATATTAAAATCGTGTAAAGAAATTCCCCAAATATGGTAAACATTTTTACTGTAGTAATTTACAGAAAGCATATGGGGTGTGTTTTCGGCGGAAAAATGTCAGATGTCAACTGCAGATAATTTTTCAATTGCTATTTGCTATATGAAATTATCCCAGTAACCATAAAGGGCGACCGTTAATTTTTCTTTATACTCCCCCTTGTCAGCAAAAAATAGCAAATCACAATCCCCGACAGAAGACTCCCCATGTAGTAAATGGTGACTGATGCACGTTAAATCTGTCGAGTCTCAAAGTCTTCCATATTGCCATAGCAAATCATATCTCTGGGGGTACTGATCCAGGAGTACCTGTGTCTTCCGGATTGGGTTCAAAATGACAAGGTTACGCAGTTGAACATTAGTAGTCGTAAATCCAAAAACAGTGGTTCGACTACTCAACGATGGTTATAAAATGAAATAAAATACCCGTTATTTTTAAAATTAGACTTTTTTGCAGGAACCTCATTTTAAGATTAAATTCTCATAAAAGATGTAACTTTGCGCGAAGCAAAATTTAAGATTTTCATTTATTTTGTTAAATTATGAGTCGAATAATCTTTAGGAATATTTCGTTTTTTCTTTCTTTGATCCAAACTCTCGACCTCTAAACTCTTCGAAGAAATCTTTTTTTGCACGAATTTAATTCTAGCTCGTAAATTTCGCAAGTGGTATTTATTAGGACACTACTTTTTGCATTTAAAAAAATTGAAAATACGAGGATTTCAATGTCTTACCCCTCTTCTCCTCTGGTTGGAATAAATCACAAAACTCTCCGTATGTAACATTTGAACAGCCCTTTATTCCATAATCAGTTGTGTGAAGATCACCATTTTTAGTAATTGTGGGGCTGTTTATCACCTACGTTGGATGCATACGGCTGAGAGGCTGTCTCACGTTTAACCTCTCATCCTGAACCAACTCGGAAGATAGCCACCTGCTTTATCGCCCTCTCGACTTCCTGGCTCGTAAACAGTGTTATTTGGCTGTTTTCTTTCGGAATGCTCTTCGAAATTCTTTCGCAAAACTTTTCAGTGAAGTCCGAAGATTATAGGCTCCAATCACTGCGTTATTACTCTTAAAACTTCTTAATATTGCAGGATGTTCAAAAATAGTTTACTTGAGCTGCACTACTTGGGCTATCGGTTCCATTTAAGAGTGGGCTCACAAACAGATTAAACAATGCCTTTACAGCATCACTGGAAATGATTTTCACCTTGGTCAAAACGGCAAAAATTTATGTTTGATGTTGCAAGAATTAAAAATTAGATTGATAAAGTTGCATTATTGGCGATTGGGGTTCAGAAGAAGTGATCCAATGAATGACTCTGTTTTAACCGAATTACTGGAGCCGTGGTGACTCAGGGGCGGTCAGCGATGGCTGGTCGATACGAACCCTGGTGCGAGCTGATAAAAAATTTCCCCAGTGGATCTTGGGTTAAAGTACTCTTATCGTCTGGCTAAATAGAAGATTATTAGGAGATTTATAGATAGGATAAGAAATTTATAGATAGAAGATTTTCATGGTTTTCCTCTCCATGCAACTCAAATTAGGGTTAGTTCCATTTAAAAGTCATCCACGAAGACAAATTTCTTCCAATACTTGATTTCTTGTTTTCTAGATTTCGTTCAAAATTACAAGGAGTTGAACATTGGTAGTCATAAACCCAGAATTGGGTCGACTGTTCAACGACGGTTATAAAATAACTCACCTTGGTCAAAATGACAAATACTGATAGTAGAAAATCGAGCTACCAAGAGCACAGCATGTTTTGATTTTATTATAAAAATAGCAAGAGAGTTATATTGATGGCTATCCGCCCATGAGATTTGAAAGTCAACTAAATATGATTTTAGAGAAAAGCGTTTATTATTTTAATTTTTAGGTTTTATTTGACGGTTATAAAATATCGGGGTAATCGGACCAATTTTTATCAGGGTCCAGATTGGATAAATAACGTCTTCAAAATATCAGGTGAATTGTACAATTCTATATAGGGTTTATATTGGCTGAATAACGGCTATAAAATATCGGGTGAACTTAACAAATCTGTATAGGACCGATATTAGCGAAATAAGAGCAATATAATGTTGGATGTATCTAGCTATACCATATAGGATGCTATACTATATCTAGCTATGCCCACATTGACCGTATAACAGCTTTAAAATATCCAGTAAATTGTACAATTCCATATATGGCCTATATTGGCTGAATATCAGCTATAAAATATCGATTGTATCGTACAATTTTATTTAGGTTCTATATTGTTCAGCTAGTATCGGGGGAATCGAACAATTCTATATGTGGCTTATATTGATTGAGTAGCGGTTATAAACTCTCGGATTATTTGGACAATTTTATGTATGGTCTATATTGGCTGAGTAACGGCTATAAAATATCGGGATAAGCGTACAATGCTATGTAGGATTTAAATTTGCTGGAAAACTGTTATAAGACATCGGTTGAGTCTGACACTTCTATATCGAACCGACATAGGCTATAAAATATCGAGTGAATTTGACGGTCTGGGAAACATCCCTGAGGATGATCAGAAGACATGCCATCATAATTTTGATCCTCTGCAGAAGACTTCTCTGCTTTGGTAGCGCGACGACCTGCTCGCGAAGTCGAGCAATTAACGGCAGAACAGTTTAACGAGAATCGACACCGCTGCAGAAGTGGTCACCCACCCACTTACTGACCATAGCCAGTCGTGCTAGACTTAGGTGTGCTACTAGAAACAGTGTCTTCCCTGAGGGACAAAGAAATATCAAAGGGTACACAGACGAGGGACTTTATAAAAGCCGAATCAATTAAAACAATTATAAATTTTGATTGGATTTCATTAAAAATTTAAAGAAACCTTTATTAGATATCTTTTATAATTTAGACGTACGGATATCGGAAAAATTTTGACATTCTGTGTTTATAAGTAAAAGCTTCAGTTATGGGAAACAATCCGATGATAAAATAAAGCTATTTAAGTTCATACAAATAAAATAATCGACTTCCTCAGTGCTGTCTGTAAGTAACCCTTTATTTGCTTCTTCTTCGTATCTGCATTCTTTATAGTGCCGCAACATAAGAAACGGAAGAATAATTTTTTATATAAAGATCAGATTTTCACTTTCTAGGACTCATTCTTAATAGTTCGAGGTGGTAACCTCAAATATGCTATGCTAATTAATAATGATATGCTAATTAATAATATGCTAATTAATAATGATATTTTAAGATACGAAATCAGACACAAAAACATACTTTCTCTGAATAAACCTACCTTTCCTTCGACGGATTCAGATTTCTGACTTCCAAAGTATGGGGGGGGGGTGTGGCCACTATCTGTAAAATAGTTTGTTAAGATAGTTTGTTAAGAAAGCGATTCAAAATTTGCACCCTTTATAGTTAGTTTTACTTTTTGCGTATTTTGTGACATATCGAGAACTTTTTAAGTGAATTGACGAATTTTTGCATACAGTTAAATATTCGTTTGTCCAAAAATAATTCCATCCAAAAAAATTAATTTTAGTAAGTATTTATTATTTTTTTTATAATTTTATTTTACCTTTATTCAACTACCAAAATAATTAACCAAAATATAGCTAATATGGTCTCAATAGTTTGGTCAGGAGAACAGTCTCAAGTTTGGACCCTTTAATGTTAATTTTACTTTTTGCGTATTTCCCCATATCTCGAGAACTTTTTAAGCGAATTGAAATATTTTTGAACACAACGTTTAAAGTTGATGTTAGAAATCGCATACCTTACAATTCAAAATTTTTTCGTCTAATATTAAAAAAAATAATAATAAATGATAAATATTTTTTGCATGGAATTATCTTTGGATAAACGATTTTTATAACTGTGTGGAAAAATTCGTCAATTCGCTTAAAAAGCTCTCGAGATATGACGAAGTACGCAAAAAGTAAAATTAGCATTATGGAGTCCAAACTTTGAACCTCTCTCCTGCCAAACAATTGGGACCCTATTTTACAGATTACCATATTTTTACCCCATACTTTGAAAGTCAGAAGGCTGAATCCCTCGAAAAAAAGATATGTTTATTCAGAGAAAGCACATTTTTGGGTCTGATTACGTAACTTAAATTATCGTCTGCACTAACTAATTAGCATATTTGTGGCCATCCCCTCGAACCATTAGGATTGACTCCTAGAACGTGAAGATACGATCATTAGAACAAAAGTTATTTATGGTGTTTTTTTATTTTACGCACTGTACGACTCTTTCCTACGTCTGTTTCACTTTGAGGATTGTATAAAGTATCTTTTACCTCATTTTGTTTTGAGAATATCTTACCAGACTTATTCCATTTTGATAACTCACTATGCTAGTAGTTCTTCGTGGATATCTTTGTAGATTGAGACATCTATCGGTTTTTACAGATCATTTTGTGTTAAATCTTTCCTACCACTTACCATGATTGGAACACTTTTTGGTATTCCTAGATTCAAATATTGAAAAATCTAAACCAAAAATGGGTCGGCTGTTCAATATCGGTTTTTTGAAATAAAATACTAATAAAGTTTGCACTTTCTTCTTGGTGGGGGGTTTTAAATAGTACGGAGGGAATTATTGCTGGCTGCATATGGGATAACTGGTCCACGCCAGAATTAAAATAAAATGAATTTTTATGTGAGGGAAAAGAAACGTTATCGCTACTGATGTAGGCCGTAAAAATATCTGTTAAATTGCTCGTTGTCACTGACAAGCATTTCTAAAAATAGCCTTCTTCCGACAATCAAACAGGTTTTGAATATTTTGATCCCGCTTACCTCAATTGTAAAGTTTAGATAACGCTTTTTTTTCTCTGAAATTATATTTTCACCCGCAGAGTGAATATGTGTTATTGTAATGAATTTCAATGCATTCTGTTCTATAATAAAGATTTTGTTATAGAAATGGGATTAAAGGAAGAAGATATTCTTGTGCTGCCGTTCAATATGGCTGACTATAAAGTACACGAAGAATGCGTGCAGAAAGTTGTGCAAAAATTTCAAAAGGTAAAAGAAGTTTCATTTGGTCATAATTAAGAGTTTTTGTAATGATTGTAATAACAACTGAGTAGAAAAAAAGAGGGTTGACTTTCAAAAGTAAATTTTTATTTATCCCAATTCATTGTATAAGAGAATTTGTAATGTGTCTCGCTAACACAAATTCATACATTATTTATGGTTGTATACTCAACTAAATGTAATGTTTTCCGTTTATTTATTTCTTGATAACACATATGAATAAATTTTAAAAAGTTGAGAATTTCTCAACTTTTGTCATCCACCGATTTTTAGATATACTTATGTTTCACAAGAGCCTGTTGCATTGATAACTCATGAATATATCAATATCTGAGAAAGTTATTTGCTTTCCAGAGCAGATTTAATTAACTTCTTCACTCCAAAAAAATGGCGTCTGAAAACAACGCAACTCTAAGAAATTCCGAAATTATCGCCTGTTCGAGTTGTGCTGCTTTTTATTTAGACTTATGTGAGCCATACGGAGGTATTTGGGACTCATACAATGTTCACTAATAGACACTAATAGCTCTTTTACGTTAAATGAACTGGAATTTACCAATTATTTTTCGAAGAAAATTTGTGTGGAAAAGTTGTGGAAAAATTGTGGTATATATATATATATATATATATATACCACAATTTTTGTACAANTATATATATATATATATATACAGCAATAAGGACGTTGCGGACATTAAAATCCACAAAATCGGGTCTAATAACCACAAATTTTCTTCGAAAAATAATTGGTAAATTCCAGTTCATTTAAAGTAAAACGAAGTAGAGGAAGGAAACCAGTTTCGGTCGCGGCAGTGGAAGATAGGGCTACAGCATTACAAGAACAGAAGAAGAGTGATGCAAGAATCAGCAGTACACGAGGAATTCTGGATATGCCGATTAGCACTGTGCGTAAAATCTTACTAAGCATCGTGAACTGTTACTCGTACAAGATAACTCATGTGCAGCAGCTGTTACCTGCTGACCTGGGAGCGAGTGAATCTTTTGCACTACGATTGCTTTCCTGGATAGAAGTTGACAACGAGTGTCCATGGAGCATGTGGTCTGACGAAGCCCACATCCATTTGCAAGGTTCTGTAAATATGCAAAATTGCGGGATATGGGATACCGAGAATCCGTTCCAGCTACAGCCATTACCTCTTCATTCTGAAATGGTCAGTGTGTAGTGCGGAATAACGGTAGCGCTTATCGTCTGTCCATTTTTCTTCGAGATCAAATCAGGTCCTGTTACCTGCACAGTTACTGGCAGGCGACATGTATGAAGCACTTTTGCGTCACCATATCCTTTCGACACTTCAGCAGGGTTAGTGTGTGAATCGCACCATATTCATGCAAGATAGCGTTCTTCCGCGCATTGCTACTTCTGTGAAGCAGCTGCTGAGTGCTCATTTCGGAGACGATAGGATCATAATGCACCATTTTCCAACAACGTAGCCTCCACGTTCCCCGTGTGACATCTGGTTTTATGGGTACCTGAAGAATGTTGTTTATAACGCGTGGATTGAGAATCTAGGCAAATTGAAGGCATGCATCACCACACACCTCATCCATTGCATAAGTACAGATACCCTCCGATCTGTTGTGGAGCATGCCATTTTACGCTTCCATATAGTAGAAAAACAATACGGAGGGCACGTCGAACAATTTATGCCTTAATCATTAGTAAGATGCTTGTTTCATGAAGCTCCTTTTTTGGGGGGGCATTATAACTGTTGTCTCTGTGAACACATATTCTTGTCTTTTTGCTAAAAAGTGTTTAGTAAACCCCTGAACTGTCCTTTTGGCTTACAGCATTCCTGTGTGTAATGAATCCATTCTTTGGTCTTTCCCCTGACATTACCCTGGCAGCGTTATCTTTCGGCAGATTTTGGAACTATTTTTTTCCTTCACCAATCAAAATTCTATTGTCTCATGAATGTTCTACTATTGAAATGTCTGAGGGCTGCTTTCCAACACTGGTACACACAGACTCTTTACTACAAAAACACTGTCTCTTTACTGCGAGAGGGATTTCTCAAACGCTTTTGGTCTCCATTTCTAGACTTGCATTTGCTCGCCTTCCTTTTATTACTTTGTTATTATGTTCACGGTTTTTCATTTTCAAAACATTTTCAGTGATAACACCCATTCATCTTGCTGATGACGTGAAGTGAAATTTAAATAATGTTTTTCATTTGGGGGGGGAGGATACGGACAGGCCTATAATTTCTCAAAATTATACTGATGACCTGAAACGGAATACGAAAGATTCACACTTACTAAATATCTTACACTGATGTTTCTTTTACGGTTAAGTGCCATTACCCGGTAAACATTAGCCTGTAAATAAACTACACTGACGTTTATTTCAAAAATTAAGTGCAACCACCCGATATAGATTTTCGCTGTATACCTTACACTGGTGTTTTTTTAAGGTTAAGTACCATCGCCTGTATACAATTGTCCGGTCGCATAACCTACAGTGATGTTAAATAAATAATCCCAAGGAACTGAATCGGTAAGATTTTACCTGATAGAAAACGTCTTACACATCAAAAATATACAAAATTGAAATGACAGACAACTTGTAGCCTGGGCACTTATTTTTGATGCCCTTAAAACATGTTGACTATGTATTCCATGTTGACTATGTTTCGGCGATTATATTTACCTAGGTAGCTATTCTAAAATGCTCCCTCACAAATTAAGAGCTTAAAATTCCTATCCAAGAGATTATTTAATTACTTTTGATTATTTGTTATTTTTTTATTTATATGGGAAAATTCAAAAAACAGTTAAAACTTTTCCTTCAAATAATTCAGAAGGGAAGACCAACAGACATAAGTCATTAGTAATGATGCATGAATAGGCAATAGATTGGAAGTTTTCAGTACAACCTTCAAGCAATGCGCATGCTCAAAATCGGGTACCAAAGTTGGAACGCGAATCTTAGATATATGCGTCAGCTTGGTAAGAGAGACGGGTGCAAAAGGCGGGGAACATAGAGTTCGTGCAATCAGTCAAAACATAAAGACGGATGTCGTGGAGTTTGTGCATAACTAGACAGAACAACGACAAATATTTTACATTTGTTTAACTATAACTTGCACGCTACGGATGTAAATTCTATAAAAAAAATGTGTTTTCTCTCATTATTGTTCCCCCATTTAGATAGATATCCTCGTCAATAATGCCGGAAGATCTCAGAGGGCGAAATTTGAAGAAATCGATGTTCAAGTGGATAAAGATCTGTTCGAAATCAATGTCTTTGGCACACTCAATCTCACAAGAAAAGTTTTGCCTCATTTCATTGCCAACGGAGGAGGACAATTTGCCGTCACAAGCAGCTGCGTCGGCAAAATGGGTAAAAAAGCTGCCTTTTTTTATATCGTCGCTTACTTCAATCTTTTTAGACAAGGGGTGTTATATCAATAACAGGTATCTGTATGAAATCAATCTTCAATTTATATTTATTAGAAAGGAAATCAAAAGGTGGGGACAGTTCAATATACCCTTCTCTGGCCTGCTCGATCTCCAGATTTCTCACAAAACGAGCATATTGGACAGCCACTGAGTTTAGTCTGTTTAGCGGTGTTTTTACAGCAACTGTGGAACAAGATACTGCTGGACATCATAAAGTCACAGCAACTGTCTCTCAATGTCCTAAAGCATCCTGCATTCGCGGTGGCTTAAGAGGGTACTAAAACCTCCATTCATTTGCATTTTTTTCCTGCAATAAATGATGATCATTTTGCCTTGACTTTTTATCGCTTACATCTATCACCGTTGTACTTGCGTATGTAAAACTTCATTTCCTTCTGACAAGTCTTTCTGGTGTGCTAATTTTTATGGCAATAGTCGTATTTAAGTTGTAAAGAAAAATTTTGAACAAAATATTCTTAAATACTCAACGCGGATGTAAAAAAAATCAAAACGTGTTTGATTGCCAATTGAATCTAAAAGATTTTTCTAATAATCGTCATTCAACTCTTCTCTGTCGAGCAATAAACAAGTTTTGATGTTTAATAGTGATTTGTCAGATTTTTATATTTCTTTACTTTAATAATAATTTTAGACTTCTATTATTTTAACTTCAGTCTTTGCAAGAGCTTTTAAAATATATTTTAAAGGGGGACACGCATATTACACCCTGATTATTACGGATTACTCCTAATATTACTGATCTAATTACATACCGTATATTAATTTATATTACCTGTACACTGATTAATATGATACCAAAATGAATTTCAAGTTGGAAATTCTATACTAGTTATAAACGCTTATGTATTAAAAAATTATAGATTTTCACTTTTCCTTAGTGTCGAAGAAAAATGGTCATTCAAAAAAAGATCATGGTTATAAGGTGATTGTGTTAAGAACTAGTGTTTAAATCCATTCAGTCACTTAAAATAAATGAATTTAAGAAAAATTTAATTTTGGAAGTTTAAACTTAAAAAATATTAAATCCTTGATGCATACTTTAAAAAAGAATTATCTTACTTCACAAGCGACTAGGGACAGGACGATTCCATAATACAAACAGACTTAGAAAATTTAGAAGGGGGAAAATGAGCTCGATATCTGGAAAACGTTGCTGGTGAGCAAAATATCGCCTTATTTTAGTGCCAACATTAGAAGTCAAATTTTGGCAGGATTTTCTGAAAAAAAAATTAACTAGGGCCATCAAAAAAGAAAGAATTGATTATTAGGCTTTACAGAGAAGACCGTCAGATTTGATTTTTTTTTATCTTCAAAGAGCGTTTTTGATGCAGAGAGGTACGTACCTCAGTACTGTTGACAATTATCGGTCGCTGTTCCAGCAATTCCGTACATGTTGGAGGAGCGTGAAGGGGGGGGGGGAGATCGTGAAAAGAATTCCGCGTATAAACGGGGCAGTGGCACTTGACCTTAAAAAAACATCAGTGTAGGGTATACCGGGCAGTGGCACTTAACTAGACCTTGTATATATTTCAGACATTTACCAAAAGTCTAGTCAACTAGACCTAGTATAAGTGCCACTTCCCGGTATACCCTGCACTGATGTTTTTTTAAGGTCAAGTGCCATTGCCCGGTATATATTTGCCCAGCATACCCTACACTGATGTTTTTTAAGGTCAAGTGCCATTGCCCGGTATACGCTACACTGATGTTTTTTTAAGGTTCAGTTACATTGCCCGGTATACCGTAAGCTGATTTTTTTAAGGTCAAGTGCCATTGCCCGGTATACCCTACACTGATGTTTTTTTAAGGTTCAGTGCCATTGCCCGGTATGTATTTGCCCGGTATACCCTACGCTGATGTTTTTTTAAGGTCAAACCATTGCCCGGTATACCCTACACTGATGTTTTTTTAAGGTCAAGTGCCATTGCCCGGTATAATTCTCACATTTCATACTTTGCCTAAAAACATCCAGCATTCTATACAATGCCGGCGTTTCATAATTTGCCGGTCACATACATATATTAAGATCTAACTAACTTTAAAGTAAAAAAAAATTTAAAAACAAAAGCAAAACAGATAACAATAATAAAAACAAAGACATAACGAAAAAATTCAACATATAACATATTTTATGCGAGTTCGAAAATGACAGCAAACGTCGCAAAAAATAAACATAAAAACAAATGCGAACGGTGACGGTAAACCTTTGAAATTTAGCCAATACGCCAAGGAAGCAAACAAAAAAATCCCCAATATTCTCAGTGCCTCTTTCCCTATTTTTACTCTTCCGACGAAACTCTAAGTTTTTAACATTATGGAATCGTCCTTCCCCTAGTCGCTTGTTCTTACTTCCCTTACTCCTGAAACGAAATGCAAATATTGATACACGCGGATAACAAATCAATTCAGCTCTTGGCTTATGCTGATGATAGTTTCATAAGGAAATCAAGTAACGACAGTTTTTTAGAACTACAGAAATTAATGAGATAGAAACAATAACACGAAAAATCATACTTTGGTTAGACCACCGGTTATCTATAAGTCAGAGACTCGACCCGAAAAAATGATGTGATGTTTTGAAGATGAAAAGAAGATATGAGAAGACACCTGGCAAAATCTTGAGAACCATTTTTGGACCAGTCAGAGTGGGTAGATGAGTATCAAAGGATATTTCACCATGAAATCTAAGAAATGTCTTTAAAAAAATGAATATTTTAAACTGTAAAAAGGCAAAAAAAAGAATCTAATGATTGAGACACGCAGAAAGAATGGTTGACAAAAGAAGGGCAAAAAAGATCTTTAATGGCCAACAAAAACGGGAAAGAGATTGAGAGAGACCTCAAAAATTAAAAAAATATATAAAGCAAAAACACGAGACAGATGGTGTAAAACAATTAGCGAGGTGAACTGTAATAATTAATAGGAGTGTCCAAAGCTCTGAGAGAGAAGCTTACGAGATTTCTGCAAATTGACATTAAAAATACCAAGCACTTGTGTGTACAAAAAACACCATCTGGTGATACACTTCGGAAATGATTAAATCCTCATGCGTTTGAAACTGTACCTGGTTTTAATTACCTTGGATATTTTGTTATAACAAAAATTGAGATAACCTCAGAAATCCAAAATCGTATCTCATTGACTGACACGAAGTTCATTAGACACTTTTTTTACATCTTCTTTTCCGGCCAACAATTTTATATCTTATTTTCCGTTCCCAAAAATTATTCCACGGAACTCTAAAGTTCCAAGCATTACGACTTTTGTTTCATAAAAATAATAACCAGTTACGGTTTTTGAAACCTATAATAGTATTTGCGTCTAATGAATGCATCATTCATTTAGTTTTTCGTCATTTTTATGAAAATGTTTAAATGAAGAAAAGAAAAACAAAATAGTATTTTTCTAATGAAAATAAAATATACTGAGCAAATAAGAAAAAGGAAGTGCATTAAAAAATAACATAATTATGTATAAAATAAGGTAAAAAATATTAACAAGACAATTATGGTGCTACAGAAATTAGCCTTTACATGAAATGAATAAATCAGATGTGTGAGTTTGGAATAGAAAAAGTATCTTCAGTATGGATTACGATCACTTCTAGCAGCAATACAGCAATGCTCTCAACTATGCGGTTTGCCAGCTCCTTTGGAAGTGCAAGCCATTGTCCTTTCAAAGAAATTGCAAGGATCTGCGGAGAAAGATTGAGAGCAGGTACACGTCTTCCAAAAGCAGGCCAAATATGCTCGATTGGATTCAAGTCCGACCATCCATTCTCTGAATTGTTTGCTGCTGAAGATTATCATCTACGTAGCGATCTCTGTGAGTTACCGTCCTTAGCACTAAATTATCCCCTATTGAACCAGCATATAAACATCAAGAATGCCGTCTCTATGCACGTGAGCATTCACGTGGAAAGACATGCAGCACTCGAAGGTATACCGCCCCACACACAGACACTACCTCTTCGGTATGCATGTCTTTCACGGATGTTTGCTGATTGATATCTGGGTAATCTTTAAATCAAACGACGCCTACTATCACTTTAGAGGCTGCACTCTTGGACTCATCTATCTGTGTTGAGAACAGCCCTCCATTGCGCGTTCACCTCAAATGTTACTTTTTCTGGGGTGACGAGAGTGGCACGCAAATGGCTGGTAGTCTAGCGAACAAACAACGTTCGTGAAAACTTTAAAGCACAGATTGAGACGTTGACATCCTTCACCAGATGTTTGCACTAAGAGAAGTGAGCCTCAGAGGGAATCCTATTTAGCCCTCTGACTTTATCCTCATCCAATAGATCTTCATATCTTCACCTCCAGACAAATGATGTCTGGAGGTCATTGTTACAAATTGGTTATCTGAAATTTCAAATTTCAGAAATGCAGCAAAACTCGCTGACTTGCGATCAAACGTACTATTTTACGCTCATTGCAGATGACGTCATACCACTTCAGTGCCACTATGTTACAGTTTTACTTAGCAACTCTTATTTGACAGCCTATTTAAATTTCATTGGAATCGGCATATTTTCGAGAGAGTTATAGCTTTTTTTGTAACTTTTCTTTAATTTAGGATAACTAGTGTATGATTAGGAAATTAAGACTTTGGCTAAAAATGGAGGACGGAAAATTTAGAGTTTTTGAAAGAAAAGCTCACAGAAATATCCTTGGTAGCGTCAAAGGAAAAGGCTTTTGGCAAAGACGCTTAGAAATGTCTAAAACTTTAAAAAAATGATATTGTCAAAAGTATTGAATTTAAGACCATAAACTGGGTTGCTGATGTTGCTAGAATAGATGGAAAAAAATCCAGTAAAAAATTTTTTTTTCAAAATAGAATTTTTTATGAATTGATTTTAATTTTTTATAATTGATATTTGATGAACTACACTTACTATTTAGCTCTTTTTATCAACTGGAATTAGTAAAATTTCATATCCCTAAAAATACATATTCGAATATCTATAATCTTGTTTCTCACTGTATTCACAGTAAGTTTAACGATTTGGGATAACTTTGTGGCATGTAATAGTTAAAAGGGAGATTTCTAAGAATGTTCTCTTTCAAAATCGGTAAAGAAACGTATCTATAGCAAAGTTTTACAAAAAGTTCCGAGAAATTCTATCGTTTCGTGGAAGAGTGGCCGGAGAAAAAAAACACTTCTTCAGGTCCGCAAACTCCGAGTTTTGAAGAGCATGTGTACAATTACGGAGTACCGTATTTACATCACGTCCGCATTATATTGTGACGCTATTATTAATCGTGATGGGATATCACATATATATGAATACGATCTTGAAGGAGACCAGAGAGTGACAACTTTTTTCACCAAGTAATGATTTTTCAAACTCGTAATTATATTTAGATTCAATCAATGACAATTTTAAGGCTAATAAAAAACGCATTATTATTCCTCATCACAGTTTTCAAATAAAAATAACTAAATTCGTCCATGAAGAAATGTTTTCTTGATACACATTTTCAACATAAAAAAAATTGTCATTTTAACTGAAATCATATTTTTGGTTTACTTTATACACTTTCAGCTAACGCATACACCAAAGTCAAATTCAGAAGACTAGATGCAACTCCAAGCCTGCGCGTTCAACTACCAGACATAAAACTTAATTTAAGATAATTAAATATAAAGCGTTGAAAATTTCTATTCTTCTCATTCTATATTTTCAGAATGATTAGTAGTCTTTTATTGGTTCACAATTGTCTTTATCTATGAAATCAAGGTTACAGAGAAAGATGTCAATTATTTAGGGTTGGTTTCATAGCCAAAATAATTAGGAACCACTGCTGCTAAAAAATATGGCTCTTCGAATACGTAACTAACGCGGAAAATTGCTCAGTCCGGTTTATGATATACCAGAAAAAAGAACTTACAGGGCGGGTATCAGATATAGTAGATCATCACATGTACTAAGATCCAGCGAATGGACATAAGGAGAAAAGGGACAATCAAGAAGTACCTCCCCTGTGAACATGTTGTTGGTTGTAGTTTGTTTACGCTGCTCTAGAGCTGCACAATGGGTTATTGGTGACGGTCTGGGAAGCATCCCTGAGCATTATCCGAATGACATGCCATCACAATTTTGATCCTCTGCAGAGGGGATGGCCCCCTTCTTCGGTAGTCCGACGACCTGTATGCGAAATCGAGCACTTTACAAGAGAACAGTTTAACGAGAAACAATATCGCACACTCTCGGTCCCATCGCAGGCTGATCAAAGTGGTCACCCACTCGCACACCGACAGCAGCCAATGATGATTGACTTCGATGATCTGTTGGGAACCGTGTCTTAATGATATGTTCACTGCGGGACGAACAGGATGCTACAGATTGTTGGACAACTCTACATGTATGATAGGGTATGCTGCTTCCCGCCATTTTATTCTTTCTCTCTATCTAAAAATATGTTAGCAGATTTAATAAATATGTATGATATAAATGTATTCTCAAAAATATATGTTAGTAGTACAGTACTGTTTATAAATAGAGCAAAAATGCAAAACAAACCAGCAATAAATTGAAGAAAAAAAAGAAAACGTTTCATCTCCTACCCGAGGGTGAAAACCCGCGTTTGTTGCAGTGCCCCTAAATGTTACTGTTACTTTAAATTCAGGGACCACACCAAGCCTTGGAGGACCGGTTTACATTATATATATTCTTCCCCTTTGATCGCTTCTTTATAGGGTTCAGGTCTGGGAAGGTCCCATTGTCACCACAGCAAGGAGGGTCTCATGAAAGGACAGTTAGCTGAAATTAAAATAGGCCATCATCCGTCATTCCAAATAGTGCATCACGGATCCTTATTCTTAACGAGGGAAACAACTCAGAGCCATTCACACTGCATGCGGGGAAAAAATCGCTTATGTGAATTCAGAGATGTGAATGGGAACCTGATTGGCAAGTTTTTTTGCGGATAAATTATATTTTACCAATCAGGGATTAAGGAATTCACACCTCTAAATTTGCATGCGCGATTTGTCTGTGTCTAAATGCTTGTTGGTAGGAGGTAGTGTAATTGCATATTTTTATTTAAAAAAAATGTCCTTTACAGGAGCTGCATTCTCTGCATCCTACACTGCTTCCAAGCATGCACTTCATGTAAGTTCCATTTTATAATTTTAGTCAATTAATTTCATAAATTATGTTATTCATTCCAAATAGTGTATGGTAATGTTATATTTAGATAATTTTCAATCACCTTGCATGTAAAGCACCACAATTTATACATTAGAACCCACTTATAACGAACCCTCATTTAACGAAATTCCGGATCTAACGAACGAAATGGAAAATTTTGTTTGGCACAAAGTTATAAATGTATTCGAATGTACTATTTTCGCGGATTTAACGGGAGAATTAATTTTCTTGCTTTTACCGTTTCTTAAAAGCGTGCTTTATATTCAGCTGTTTAAAATATTAAAAAGAAAAATTTTATCCTTTTAAAAAAAAAGTTGAATTTCTAAAACTCATAGATAGAGAAGAACAAAGAAAGTGTCAATATGTAATTAAAATATGCAAAAAAGCGATTCACGTGAATTGCTTTATACGTTTATTTTTTTTTTATTAGCCTTGAGTTAGTACATAACAAGCTATTGGATTTAACGAACACTTTTCTCTTTTCCGAGTCCCTTGTTACATACGGGTTCTATTCTGTAAATTTTTCAAATTCTTGTCAAACCATAGCTTTTGTTCAATGGGTGTCACCCGCTACTCTGTATGGGTAAAAACTGCTGTATAATATTTATCCGAATTCAGTATTTCAAACTCAACAAACTGTGTGAATGAATTCAATTTAATACCGAATAGAGCGTTCGTGCACATTTTAAAGGGTATCGTTAAATCTAATCAGCAATAATTGAGAAAGCTTACACAAAGGTCAGATTGATTCATGAATAATTCTCGCCAATTTCGACGTACCTTAAGGAAACCATCAGATGACGACAGTAGATCTTTTGCATTTGAGCACGAGAGTGTGTTGTCGGTGGTGAACATTCTGCAGAAAAAGAAGGTTATAAAAAACATGTTTGTTTTTAATTGTCTATGAAAGTTCTTCTCATACTATATAAGAGATGGCCTTTGTATGGTACGTTCTGATAACAATTAAAATGTTTTTGTTTTCAGGGTTACTTTGAGACCTTAAGGACAGAAATGTCAGGAAAGAATATTGATGTGACGATGCTTTGCCCTGGTCCAATATTTTCACACTTTCTGGAGAATGCTTTTACGGCAACACCTGGACAAGTCAGATTTATTTTACATATATTTAATAAAAGTAACAAAATCTGTAATTTTTTCAGTGTGTCGAGACGATTCAATATATTCTTAATTTTTCTTTCTTTATTTTCTTAGCAAAGATCACGTCATTTATAAAGACAATATTGTCTAAAGCAGAGTCTTCTTTTGCATGTTGGATCCTGATTCATTATATTTATTTCGAATGGCAAGATAAAAAGACAACTATAGCAGAGAATCAAGTAGAAAACAAACATAGAGGAGAAAAAATGTAACCTAATATAAAATACTTAACAGCTCTATTAGTAATATAAAAGAAACATACCACTAAATAATATTCTTATTGTATTTTATTGAAAGTTCAAGTTTTGATAGCTAGTGGTAAACAGACATTTGGGTTCTATGTTTATACGTGTCAACTGCGCTTATCTGGTTAAGCTTTAGATAATTTAAGTTTACTCTTCATTCTTGCTTTATCTGTTACAATTCTGATGGTCATATGACAGGCTTCATATATTAAAATCTCGCAATTTTGGCGGATTTTTTTTGTACCACACATTTTCTTAAGACTTTCCCATTAGAACTCAGCGTCTTCATCAAAACATCTGATTGTTTCACTTAAAGGAATCTCAAAACTTATTATTTTGGTCTTTGTTTTCAGAAATTTAATGAATCGACGAATCCGACCGACAGAAGAATGCCAACAGATAGATGTGGTCGATTGATGGCAGTGGCCATTGCTCATAAACTGGATGAAGCTTGGATATGCCAACTACCTAACCTCCTATTATTTTATTTGGTTCAGTACACTCCGACATTCTTCAGAAAGTAATTCCTTTTAGCTCCTTTTCACAAATTATCTTTCCATCATTTATCAAATGCTCGGGTAATTTTTCGGGATGCAATTTATACGGCTCAGATATAAAATTCTTTAATTAATTTTTTTTTCCGATAGAATTTGAGTGAAATAGCAGAACACAATTTTTCAGTTTGAAAATGGTAGAACAAATAATGCCAGGAGAGGTTCAAATCACAACTTATCAAGCGTGCGGTAATAACTGAAATAAGTCACGTGGCTAATACAGAAGGTTGACTGTACGGGGCTTTAAAAACTAAAGGATAATTTTGTGCCTCCCCCTAAAAGTTTTCAGTGCAAAGTTAAAGTGCGAATTCTTTACTGTATAGTATATGTAGTTTCTTTGCAGAATTTAAGTAAAATTTTTGGGCCGTGTGAGATACATTCGAATTTTGTTATGAAGGGATATTTATCCCAGAAAAATAAATTCATTTGAGAAAAATTTATTTATTATTTAGAGAGTATGGTCATAATTAGAAGTAATGAAATAAAGAAAGAAAGGGATCAACAGAATCATTCTCTTTCACATCAAAAATTTCTGTAGAAATATAAATTCAATGGTTGACTGAGAGGCCAGAGCCTCCTAGTTCATTCGCCAATAATTCGAAATTAAAAGTAAGGTGAATTGTTCCCAACGGACAGTTAGGAACATGGGAAGAGATCCATGGCTGGCGATTTAACGAAAGATAACATGGCCAAAAAATAATCCCAATCCATCTACCTGTAATCAATATTAAATTTGAAAATAATTTGACGAAAGCAAATGGCCAAAGAGACTGTGGGAACTAGTATATTTTTGTGATAAGAAATAAAGAGTTTTAGGTTTTGTTTCGATTGAGTCAGGACAGTGAATGAATTAGTTTTACATTTGTATTGAAATAAAAAGTTAGCCGTTACACTGATTGTTAAGAAAAGAATAAAATATTTATATTAGCTTATTATAAAATGTAATAAAAATTAAATAATTGGTTTCATTTAATTAAAATTCGATTAAGAGTGATTTTAAGAAATAAATTAATAAATAAATTTAAGAAATTAAAGAAATTTTAAAAGCTGGAAAATATGCAATGCCTAATTGAAAACACAATCATATTTATTTATTTATGTAGCTTTAAAAATAAATTTTGTGTTTTAACAGTCATTTTTTTCAGCGTTTTATTTATCACTCAAATTGTCCATAAATATTTTAGACCCTAGTATTGAATATCTTTGTGTATTTGACCCTTTAGTTTTTGTCAGAAACTGAAATAAAGTAATTTTGCATCAAAAAGTTTATTTTTCCTTATTTAAGATTGAGCAGAGGAATGAAGTTGTTCCATCTGTCGCTCTTTTGCAGATAGCTTCACTCACAGTCATTTCTCCTTGTTATTATTTAAACTTAATCAACTTTAATAATTACGTTTATTTTATATTTTACTTTAAATTTGGTAAAAGTAACGCCATTGTCGCTCGCTATAACCCTCGAACTCCTTGTTTCCAACTCGCTCACTCATTGCTGCGCTCGCAATTTTTTTTTTACTAATTGGGAAGTTAGAACTCATTATTAGGGCGAGAGAATTATTTCCGACTCATAGTAATGACTCATAGCATCATAGTAATACTTATAGTAATGATTTTCTCCTTTTTTTCATGGAATAAATTTAAAATTGGTGGACATAACGTTAATGCACGTCCACTCATAATGACCTTAAAAGTTAAAAGCTTCATCTTGAATTCAATCCAATCCATTTCATAAAGAGATATAAAACAAAATTATGAAATTTTGCTACTGGCCCGGGTTTTTTTTTTAAAATGGCATTTTTTTAAACAAATGGCTATTTTACAAAAAATTTAAATTTTAATCAATATTAAAAAAAAAAATTATGTTAATAATAAGAGACATTTCTTTTTAAACATGTCTGAAAACTCGATAAACGTTACAAACGTCATTTCTAGAAAGATGAAAAATCTTTTTAAAAAAAACAATAAAATACGAAATTCATAATATTAGGAAATATTCATATTTATTAAAAATAATAATAGGGTGTATTTTCGATTTTTAAAAAAAATGTCCATCGGTAGGCTGCACTCAGTCATTTTTTTAATCCTCATTTGTTATATGTTGCCCTACAAAGAGAGACTTTATATGAGTAAAACTAACGACCACAGTAACAATAACCGTATAAATTAGCTACCATAATGCATAAAACTAACACTTCCCACATTTTTATTTCGGTGTGAAAAAGTTTGAGAATATAACAAAATATATTTATGAATTCATAATGATACTTTTTTTCTTATTAATTTAGGGTAATAATTGGAAAGCTGTATACACCAGAACGAGCAGAAAAACTAAGAGAAGGAAGATGGTGAACCCTATTCACAGTTCATTTTAACCCATTTCAAAAGATATAATAATAAAAATTATTTTCAATATTGTAATATTATATTCAAACATATTATACATATTTAATAAATAAAAATTATAAATGTTCATATATTATAAACGAAAAAAAAAATTTTAAAGTTCGCATCTGTTCCTCATTTATTTAATTTTTACACGATATCGAAAGTCATTGAAAGACTTGGGAATCCCGGAGACCTTCGAAAATTAAATTACATTCAATTAACCACTCTTATGTTTAATGATCACCCTTATTTGAGACATAATTCTAAATAGAAGTTAGGGAATCGGGACAACGTTAGCAATGAAAGCTAGCATATGTATTGCTCATTGCAAAATTTCGAAGATGTAATTTTAATCAAATGTATCTTTATTATGAAAAACCAATAAACGTTAAGCTAAGCTTAAAAGAATATTTTGATACCTTGGCAGAACATATTTTTTTTTATCATTAATAACTGTAATTCCTAGATTTTGTTTGTAACAAAATAATAATCTGAGAAATCTAAAAAAATAATAACGTAATCTGAGATTTAGTAACAATTTTAAAAAAAGATAAATGCTGTACCTGTGCAGAGATGTTCAAGAACCTACCAGGATGTTCTAAAAGTATTTGAAAAATCAGTTCAAGAGAAACCGGAGAGGATTAAAAGGCTGCATTCAACCAATGATTTATTTTTCCCAAGTTTCAAAATTGGGTACCAAGTTAGGCAATTGACGGCAAAGTTTACTAGAAATACTACAAAACAATATTCTCTGTTGCATTTTTACCAAACATTTTGAGAGAGAATCAGTTAGTTTTGCCCTAAGGCTAAGCCGCGTAATTGCTGTGGATAGTGTATTGACTTTTATTTACGATAATACTATTGAATTAAAGTTACTTCTTATGACGCTATAATTCGACAATCGACTACTCTATATTTCTTTTATATTTGACTTATCATGGCCACTTTGGAATAATCGATTATCGTTGAATGGAACATTAGACTTTCTTCTACAAATGCATGAAAAATTCAAAGAAAATATGACATGATATGGTGAGTGTACGTCAAACTCTGATTAACTCAAGAAGTAAAAAATCGATTCTCATATTTTAGTACAAATGATGAAAATTAGCAGAATAGTATAAATTTTTTTGCAAAAAGGGAATTCACAAAATGGCTTACAACTAGATAAACAAAAATAAGGCTAACGATAGAATCACCAATCTGATTTAAGTTAGTAAAGTCTTAAATATATGTACAATAATTAGGATTTTTAAAATCGATGGTTGTTAACGAAAATCGAATCCAATTATACTTTTGAGTCTTCGAATAATGTATTGTACAAACAAAAATTATGCTTTCATTGAAATTGTAATCGACAATTTGCTTTAAGATTCAAAATGAATAAATAATAAACATTTATCTGCCACAAAGGATGTATAGGAGGATGCAGTAAATTCTTTAAAATGATACGCTCCACTTTCATTGCTTTCTAACAAAAGCTTAAAATGCAAGAACTCAATCTTTTGAAGAATCGCCTGCCACACCCACTGCAACACACCTTTTACTGTTCGAAATCATAAACCCAAGAAAACATCCTTGAATACTTTTCCCCAAGGAAAATCTAATGTTTCGTAAAGATTTTCTCTACATCGCTTGTCACTAACCTAATACCCTCTCTGTTAGGGGTCGTTCTCACTGCATGCAATTCACGCACCTCCGATTGCTCTGCAGGGATAAGAAGGACGTTATAGGTGAATCTTTCGCGGAATATATTTCACCAATCGGGTTCTCATTCTCACTCGCCGGCGATCGGAGGTTCGTGAATCGCAAGCAGTGAGAATAGCCCGAGTTCAGAATTTTATTTTGTTTCTGCTGACGGAATAGAGCCCTCGCCTCCACTGAAGTAACACCAGGTGCGTATCAGCAGATCCTGCATTGGATAAGACACTTGCTGATTGCAGTTGAAATTGGCGATGATTACGCGTAAATGCGGTTGATTACATTCAAAACACAAAATTATTCTAAACAAGTGGGCTGCGCCCCCTGCTCGCTGACGCTCGCCAACCCCGGAAAATTGCTACGCAATCTTATATGGTTTGCTTCGCAAACCAAGCTCGCTTCGCTCGCTACTAACTTAGGTGCATTTACACAAAATTCTAAGAATTCAAAACAATCATTCAAGTGCATGTAACAACTTTTTTTTAAAAAAAAAAATTACATCTTTTTAGTAAATACTAAGTCATTAAAATACATTTGAATTCAAATAAAGACTCATTGACTGGGACTCAGTTTTCAATGAATAAGTAATAACAATAATAAAACAAATAAATTCGTGAAAAACAGCGCTTTCGACAAAATACTAAAATAAAAATCTATCGACAAAGACTACTCACTTCTGCCTAGCCTAATAGCATGAGATTGCTGCAGCTGAATTGTTATTTCAGTTTCCGTTTTTAAAAGCGATATATATGTTGAGCCACCTCAGCTAGATTTGGCATGTGACATTTTTAGCGGCAATCATTGGTCGATTTTCTAGCGTTGCCATTCGCGCAGTTGTAATGAGGCTTTTTTTGTCGCCGTGTAAGAGAAATATATATATAGATAACTATTTAACCTTTAATAAACAATTCAACGCTACTTAAATTATTACTTAGGACAACCTAACAAAATGAATAAGAATAATATTGTTGCCAATAGATAAAGAAAAACCCGTTTCATGATGAAGAGAAATATGATTACAGTGGAAAACAAATTTCGCATTTACATAAATACTTGATCTGGGTATTTCGGATCTGAAATTATTTTTGCTCCTTAAGCTACGGTTTTTTTTTACTTCCTAAATTACGTTTGTGGTTTAAAAACGTTATATATTGCAAGAGGTCGCGTAAATATTGGATTAAAACTGCATAGGATCCCATGAACGGAAATTTTTTCATACGCTGCTAGGGACACTTCCCCTATTATGGCCTGCTCAAAAGCACAAAAAAATCAGTTCATAATAGAGAAGCGGCCTTACATAGGAAATATGCATCAGTTCTTAACATAGGAACTGATGCCCATCAGTTCCTGTGTCATTTTAATCTTAATAACGAGCATCCTTGCTATATACAACGTTTCTGAACTTAAACGTCTCGTTGAAAAATAGACTAAAAAAATGTCATTTAAGAAAGTTTGAAGTGAGAAACCGATTGCAGACTTAAAATTAGGGAAATTACTGTTAAGAAACTCCTGCAACAGAAAAAAAAAACATTTGTTCCCCAGTGTTACTTCAAAATTGATTAATATACAAGGATTAGATTAGAGTTTGAGGAAAGGATTTCTGTACATTTCATATTTTTAACACTTTTAATTCATAATCTTCTATGAGCTTTAAAATTTTTCTACTATCAATATTAACACTTAACTTACTGTGATATGCTAATCATATAAAAATAATACTAAGCAAATGACTTTTAAAGAAACTACATTGCGATGAAATATTTGATCATTTTGTAAATATTTTTAACTTATAAGAAGATTATGGATTGATGCATAATGATAAGAAGACTAATGCATAATTTATAAAAATATGTTATCGTAGTAGATATGTATATAATTAAAAATTCCTTTCCTCACGAATCAAATTAATCCCGGCATATAAATTAATTCTTTAAAAAAAGAAATGTCCTAAATATATACTAGGTCTAATTAACGGCCACTGTCCGGTGTACATTTGCCCGGAATGCCCAGCATCAATGTTTTTTAAAGGTCAAGGCCACTGCCCACCAGTAGGCATTTAACCGGTACTCTGAACACTGATGTCTCTCCTAATCTATCCTCAGCAGATATTGAAATATCGAATAAATATCAACGAGTAAATTAATATCAAATCGGATATAACAA